CTTTTGAGGGTAAAGGTTCAAACCTCAGCTGGTTTTTTTCCAGCAGCGTCAGAATGAAACAAGCCTCTACAGGTCATGTGACATGAGAATGCTGTTTGTGCACAAGCTTAATTTTTCTCATGTCACTTTTATCTGTTTGGGCTGCATGTCACGTTTTACTTCCATGTGAACAAGAAGGTACACTGAACTTATGTGGTGGCCAACTACCTCAAAAATATCGGAACCAAATAAATAAAATTCAATGTAAGGAAGTGTTTTAAAAATAGTTTTATTGTCAATGTAAAAGTTGTAATGATGTTTACTTGGTTGACTTTGCTTACAGATTATACATTTCTATTTGATATGACCATAATTCAAGCCCAGCTTAAAAACAGCGTGAGCCCAGCGTAAAACCCCTAACCCTTGACCCTTACGGGTCCATACCCAGCCCTAATCCTAACCCTTGACCCTTACCGGTCCATACCCAGCCCTAATCCTAACCCTTGACCCTTACGGGTCCATACCCAGCCCTAATCCTAACCCTTGACCCTTACGGGTCCATACCCAGCCCTAATCCTAAACCCTTGACCCTTACGGGTCCATACCCAGCCCTAATCCTAAACCCTTGACCCTTACCGGTCCATACCCAGCCCTAATCCTAACCCTTGTCCCTTACCGGTCCATACCCAGCCCTAATCCTAACCCCTGACCCTTACCGGTCCATACCCAGCCCTAATCCTAACCCTTGACCCTTACCGGTCCATACCCAGCCCTAATCCTAACCCTTGACCCTTACCGGTCCATACCCAGCCCTAATCCTAACCCTTGACCCTTACGGGTCCATACCCAGCCCTAATCCTAACCCTTGAACCTTACGGGTCCATACCCAGCCCTAATCCTAAACCCTTGACCCTTAAAACCATTACGGGTCCATACCCTAAACTCAGTTCATTCCTTAGTCCTAAATGTGACTCCTGACCCTGAAACAGCCCCGCCAGCCCTAGAGGCCACAATAGGCCACAATAGGCTATTTATTTTTAATTTTTTTTCAGAAAATTGAACCCACCATGTATCAAAAACAAAAACACACACAGATGGATCTTGAACAGCAAACAGTTCCCTATTTGATTGAACAAATCCAGTCAGTTTGAACACTGACAGTAGATATTCATCATCAGGCTGAGTTTATCCTTTAACATGATCTCAAGTTGTCTTTTAGAAAATACATTTGTTCATTAATCCTTATCAGACTAGCTGTAGAGAGGAGTTCATGGCAGCCAGAACCGTAACGATGAGCGCATGAAACAGATCTGACAGCAGAAACTGCAGATTTCAAGAATCAGAAGCGAGGAAATTAGTAGGGCTGAAATAATTACAGTAGCAGCCATTCAAAATGGCCTTCCCCAGTGAAACGCCAGCCAAATGACAGCCCACTTCCCTGCAACTCCCATCAAAATCCCCTCCATAAACCCAACATATCTTTTTACTATGACTCCACCCTTTTACTGAATTACAGGGTCTGACCAGGAAATGGTGCTTCTCTTTAGGTCTTAATGTCCACAAATCATGACAGAATATTTTAGTGCAAAGATTAATGTTTAAAAAGGAATTGAAGGGAACCAACCAAGGACCAGCCAAGGACCTGCCAAGGGCCAGCCAAGGACCAGCCAAGGACCAGCCAAGGACCTGCCAAGGGCCAGCCGAGGACCAGCCGAGGACCAGCCGAGGACCTGCCAAGGACCAGCCAAGGACCAGCCAGGGACCAGCCAGGGACCTGCCAAGGACCAGCCAACGACCAGCCAAGGACCAGCCAAGGACTAGCCAAGGACCAGCCAGGGACCTGCCAAGGACCAGCCAAGGACCAGCCAAGGACCAGCCAGGGACCAGCCAGGGACCAGCCAGGGACCAGCCAAGGGCCAGCCAGGGACCAGCCAAGGGCCAGCCAGGGACCAGCCAAGGACCAGCCAGGGACCAGCCAAGGACCAGCCAGGGACCAGCCAGGGACCAGCCAAGGACCAGCCAGGGACCAGCCAAGGGCCAGCCAAGGGCCAGCCAAGGACCAGCCAAGGACCAGCCAGGTACCAGCCAAGGACCAGCCAGGGACCAGCCAAGGACCAGCCAAGGACCAGCCAGGGACCAGCCAGGGACCAGCCAGGGACCAGCCAAGGGCCAACCAAGGTCCAACCAAGGACCAGCCAGGGACCAGCCAAGGGCCAGCCAAGGACCAGCCAAGGACCAGCCAAGGACCAACCAGGGACCAGCCAAGGACCAGCCGAGAACCAGCCAGGGACCAGCCAAGGACCAGCCAGGGACCAGCCAGGGACCAGTCAAGGACCAGCCAAGGACCAGCCAGGGACCAGCCAAGGACCAGCCAAGGACCAGCCAGGGACCAGCCAAGGACCAGCCAAGGACCAGCCAGGGACCAGCCAGGGACCAGCCAAGGGCCAGCCAAGGACCAGCCAAGGACCAGCCAAGGACCCATCAAGGAAAGTGGGGACATTGTAAATCGCTACTAAAGTGATCGGAATAACAGATCATTGAAATAACCGTCAACTAATTCAGTAATCGATTAATGGTTAACTGGAGTACATAGACTAAAACAGGCATCCCCAAACTCGGCCCTCAAGGCCCGCTTTCCTGCAGGTTTTAGAGGTTTCCTTGCTCCAGCACAGCTGATTTTAAATGAGAGCTGATTAACAGGCTTTTGGTCTACTGCAATCATTATAACCAGCTGTGCTGAAGCAGAGAAACCTCTAAAACCTGCAGAATAGGGGGCCTTGAGGACCGAGTTTGGGGATGCCTGGACTAAAACATGCATTTAGCTGACAGAGTGACCCACTTAGAGCAGCAATTATATCTAAATTGTAAAAAGTACAACACTTTGCATTTAAGATTAAAAATATATACAGGTGCTGGTCATAAAATTAGAATATCATGAAAAAGTTGATTGATTTCAGTAATTCCATTTAAAAAGTGAAACTTGTATATTATATTCATACATTACATACAAACTCATATATTTCAGATGTTTATTTTGTTTAATTTTGATGATTACAAATGACAACAAATGAAAATCTCAAATTCATCATATCAGAAAATTAGAATATTGTGAAAAGGTTCAAAATTGATGGCCCCTGGTGCCACACTCTAATCAGCTAATTAACTCAAACCACCTGCAAAAGCCTTTAAATGGTCTTTCAGTCTAGTTCTATAGGCTACACAATCATGGGGAAGACTGCTGACTTGACAGTTGTCCAAAAGACGACCATCGACACCTTGCACAAGGAGGGCAAGACACAAAAGGTCATCGCTAAAGAGGCTGGCTGTTCACAGAGCTCAGTGTCCAAGCACATTAATAGAGAGGCGAAGGGAAGGAAAAGATGTGGTCGAAAAAAGTGTACAAGCAAGAGAGATAACCGCACCCTGGAGAGGATTGTGAAACAAAACCCCTTCAAAAATGTGGGGGAGATTCACAAAGAGTGGACTGCAGCTGGAGTGAGTGCTTCAAGAACCACCACACACAGACGTATGAAAGACATGGGTTTCTGCTGTCCCATTCCTTGTGTCAAGCCACTCTTGAACCACAGACAGCGTCAGAAGCGTCTTGCCTGGGCTAAAGAGAAACAGGACTGGACTGCTGGTGAGTGGTCCAAAGTCATGTTCTCTGATGAAAGTAAATTTTGCATTTCCTTTGGAAATCAAGGTCCCAGAGTCTGGAGGAAAAGAAGAGAGGCACTTCATCCACGTTGCTTGAAGTCCAGTGTAAAGTTTCCACAGTCAGTGATGGTTTGGGGTGCCATGTCATCTGCTGGTGTTGGTCCATTGTGTTTTCTGAGGTCCAGGGTCAACGCAGCCACATACCAGGAAGTTTTAGAGCACTTCATGCTTCCTGCTGCTGACCAACTTTTTGGAGATGCAGATTTCATTTTCCAACAGGACTTGGCACCTGCACACAGTGCCAAAGCTACCAGTACCTGGTTGAAGGACCATGGTATCCCTGTTCTTAATTGGCCAGCAAACTCTCCTGACCTTAACCCCATAGAAAATCTAAGGGGTATTGTGAAGAAGAAGATGCAATACACCAGACCCAACAATTCAGAAGAGCTAAAAGCCACTATTAGAGCAACCTGGGCTATCATAACACCTGAGCAGTGCCACAGACTGATCGACTCCATGCCACGCCGCATTGCTGCAGTAATACAGGCCAAAGGAGGCCCAACTAAATACTGAGTGCTGTACATGCTCATACTTTTCATGTTCATACTTTTCAGTTGGCCAACATTTCTATAAATCCTTTGTTTTTATTGGTCTTCAGTAATATTCTAATTTTCTGATATGATGAATTTGAGATTTTCATTTGTTGTCATTTGTAATCATCAAAATTAAACAAAATAAACATCTGAAATATATGAGTTTGTATGTAATGTATGAATATAATATACAAGTTTCACTTTTTAAATGGAATTACTGAAATCAATCAACTTTTTCATGATATTCTAATTTTATGACCAGCACCTGTATATACGTCTTTCATCAATCGGCTCTATCTAGAACTCCTCAAGTGGAAATTTTTAGTTTCCCCTGGTTTAATTTAATAAAATATCTTCTTTAAGGAACCTTGGCTATCCGATTATTAATCAATTAATCAAAAAAAATATTGAAAGATCAATCCATCCATCATCCATTTTCGGTGAAAGAGTAATCAATTTGCCAAATAATCTTTATTTGCAGCCCTAGAGATGTGGATCCCTGCAGCCCTGCTATGTCTCAGCAGTGAGGGCAGACCATGGAGCAAAGGACAATGATGCACCTGGGAGTCCACCAGCATTTCCTCTGCTGCCCAGGTGTTCCTGATGGTTCCAGTCCACCCACATCTACTGTCCTCACTGGCAACAAGGCCAACACTGCACTGCAGAATCATTCCTTTAGTTACAGACGTGGACTGAAGCCTGGTTTATGTTCAGAAACCAGGTCGTCTGCGTGTGTGTGGTAGTTAACGCAGATATGCCTCCCTCCTTCTG